AAAAAAAAAAAAGAAAAGAAAATTCAATGAGAGATTCAATGAGAGACTTCTTATTTGTGTATGGTTGAGATGAAGACACAATGAAGCAGAAACACTGCCTTTTTGCAGTGTTAAGGACACAAGGAGAATTCATGACCCTTGGTCATGAATGTACACATACAAACACCTGCCCCCGAGTAATGATGGTGATTTTGGCAACTTCTGAACAAAGACTTCAAACCTACAGTCCCTCTCCTAATTTCCTTATAATCACTACAAAATAACAACTGAGAGTTCATCTAATATTTAAAGTCAACACAAACTTTAGATGTTGGTGTTTTTATTGATTATAAACACCCTACCTTAAACATTCTAAAAAAGGATTAACTGAATAACTTTTTACTCATTATGAAAGAAAGTTCTTTAGCAAACCATCACAACAACTCATACCTGGTGTGTAAGTAAAACGTTGAGACTGGCTTTTTTTCCTCTTGCCATTGCAAAGATAAAAGTGCACCTGCACTGCAGCTGTAACTGCTGGGTTATGATATGGAGGAACTTCAAGGACAATTTGAGCCTAAGGAGCATGGAAAGCAAGATTATGTTACACTCAGAACTAAAAATGAAATGCACCTGCTAAACTCAGTGAAACTTATGCATCTTTAACCACAAGAGCTTTCCGCTTATTATAGATCATTATATACATCAACTGGTCATATAGGTCATCTGGAGATTTACCTTATGGATACTTCAGTCTTGGCAGAGATAAGACCTTTAATCATTAAAGAAGAAGTTGCTTTTTAACCCATCCAACTGTGTTACTAAGTGTAGCAAAAATAAAAAAGCCCTATATACTACGTAGTAGGATATTTTGCTTTACAAATATTATGTTACTATTAACAGAAAGTTCACTCTGATTTTATTTTTTATTGTTTTTGAGACAGAGTTTCACTTTGTCACCCTCAGTACAGTGCAGTGGCGTCACAGCTCACAGCAACCTCCAGCTCTTGGGCATAAATGATTCTTTTGCCTCAGCCTCCCAAGTAGCTGGGACTACAGGCACCTGCCACAACATCCAGCTACTTTAGAGATGAGGTCTCACTCTGGCTCAGGCTGGTCTTGAACCTGTGAGCTCAAGCAATCCACCCACCTCAGCCTCCCAAATGTTGGGATTACAGGTGTGAGCCACCGTGCCTGGCTTATTTATTTACTTTTTTTTTTTTTTTTAGAGACAAGAGTCGTACACTATTACCCTCAGTACAGTGCCATGGCATCACAGCTCACGGCAACCTCCAGCTCTTGGGCTTAGGCAACTCTCTTGCCTCAGCCTCCTGACTAGCTGGGACTACAGGCACCCACCATGACACCCAGCTATTTTTTTGTTGCAGTTTGGCCAGGCCTGGGTTTGAACTCGCCACTCTTAGTATATGGGGCCAGCGTCCTATCCACTGAACCACAGGTGCCGCCCTTTATTTACTTTTTTGAGAGACGGGGTCTTCTTCTGTCGCAACCTCCTTAGTAGCGAGGGTTACAGGTAAAAGCCGTTCTCTCCAGACATTCTGGTTTTTAATTATATTTCATATTTCCCAAGTTTGAATTATACTTTAGATTTCTTTTTTCTTTTTTTGAGACAAAGTCTCACTGTATCCAGGCTACAGGATAATGGCGTCATCCTAGCTTACTACAATCTCAAAAACACCCGAACTCAACTGATCCTCCTGCCTCAGATTCCCAAGTAGCTAGGACAGCGTTCTCAACATGTGGGTGGTGACCCACAGGAACTATATCAAAGAGCCGTGGTATTAGGAAGGTTGAGAACTACTAAGCTAGGACTATAGACACAAACCACCAAGCTTGGCTATTAGAAAAAAAATTTTTTTTGGAGAGGCAGATCAGCAAACTTACTATGTTGCTCAGGCTGGTCCTTAACTCCTGGCCTCAATTAATCCTCCTGCCTTGGCCTCCCAAAGTGCTAGGATTATAGGCATGACCTACCATGGCCAGCTTAGATTTCTTAAGTTTTATATTCAGAATGTTCTAAATTGGCATTATATAAAATCTGTATCAGTATCAAAAATAATTTAACGCAAGCAGGATGAAAACCTTTAGCCCCGAACCATATATAATCCTCAACCTAGCTGCTCCAGGTGTTTGGAAAGCACTGTGGGAAACAGTATTCTCTACTCCAGAGAAGATTTTTATTTCTATTCCAATCATGATGAAAGGACCACAGCTTTCAGCAAGGAATCCCAGAAGGCTTAATAAAGTAGCTGAGAAGTAGGAATAATATGTTAAATATACAAATCCCAAAAGGCTTGTCCTCCTATATTTTGCCCACAAATCCATTACTGAATTTGTTTTGACTTCTTCACTAAATTCAGAGAAATTAATGATAATTTCAATAAGGACCTTCCAATAATCTTTCATTTCTAATTTCTCCTTTCCTATACACAAAAAAGAGAAGATTACACACCAATGGATTATCTTTTCTAAAATTTAATACCAGGAAAGAATCTCATTTCCAAACTTCTAAAAATTCTAATTTACTCTTCAATTATTCAATATCTAAAAGACCACACTCATCTATACCATAAAATAATATTCTTCAATTTTCTCGTTAAGCTTCTTAAATATTTCTTAAGAATTAAGGTAAATTTCTTACCCCTTGACATTTTTCCCTGATTATTTTCCCTTCTACTTCCCATTGAGGTCGTCCATCTATTAAAAGAAACAATTTACAGTTAAAAGCAATTTGTGTCAGAAAGTATAAAAACAAAATCTAATGCATGTAGTATCACACATTGGCAAAGGTAATCTTTTTCTGACTGATTTCCATTATGAAAACAAAATGTGAATGTGTGTCAATGGGAGAAGAATAAGAACAATCTTGGGCTGCCCAGGTTAGCAGACTTCACAGAATTCATTTTACTCACCTACCCAAGTGATGTGTGAATGTCCTGAGAACACCTCCACAAAGTAGTGAGCAACTTTTGCTTGTATACCTCAAGTGATAGGAAATTCAATTCCTCAACCATTCCATCTCTGGATAATAACTACTGCTAGAAATCATCTCATGATAAATAACATTTCTTTCTATAGTATAAAAGACTACTGATCTAAACCAGGAAGTAGTATTCTTTAATTTTCTCCAACAACTGGTCTAAGTACTATTCCTTACAGCTATTAAAAAAAAAAAATCTTGAGAGCTTCTCTGAGACAAAATTTCAGATGCTGAAAAGCAACTACATCTGCCTGTGTCTGTCTCTTGCTGGCTAGCATCCCTAATTGTGCATCCATCCCTTACATAATATTTTAGCCTTCCTGATCACTCTTTGAACACTGCTACTCCACTCTTCCTTCAAATGCACCAGGCCCAAGAGGACTGAAGAGCCTAGGTAAGAATGACCATGCAGGGTAGAGAATGATGGAGGCTATTTGCCATCCTACATAGAGAAGCTGTGTTTGCTAAGAAAAGCTTTCTTGGGAGCTGTATCACACCGACTCTCACACTAAGTTTGTGGCAAACAAGTGTCCCTCAATCTATCAAATTTCCTACTGCCATGTTCCCCTACTGCGTACCTAAATAGCAGGAGTATTCTTTTTGACTAACTCTTGTAACATTTATTTCTCCCAGTAGGGTGATTTCATTTTATTAGATTACTGGACTTACCAAGATCTTTTTTTTTTT